TTTGTATGATACACACCATATTTCTAAAAAATAACACACTTGACCTTCAAGATAAGAAATAACTAAAATTAGGTATGAAAGTGATAAATCAGGTCATCTGGTGACCTCACTATTCAACACAAGGCCTAAAAGTTAAAGATTTGCAGAGCTTTCTGGCTCAAACATTTAAATATTTAATCACCATTAATCTGGTCTCATTACTTTATTCCTTTCTATTTTGATTGACAGATAAACTTAACTTACATCTCAATAAACAGTTTTCTAAAATTAGACTAGATTATGAAGCCTCTCATAATTATCTGTCAGAAAGTTTTTCAACAGCTAACCAAATTTTTAAAACCACCCAATTTTCCAATAAACTGAATGAAGAGCAGCAAGATGGGTAATGGTTAGATCAGCTAGCACAGAAAGAGTACTATCAGGGCTGAGTATTACTAAGCTCAAGCAAATTAATGTCTAATAAAGCAACTTACTATTTACATTTTTGCAATATCTATCATGACCAGCATCTGGAGGCTCTTCACAACAAATAAACCAAACACAACATTTAAAAAGGATTTAAAAAATAAATCCCCCTGTCAATCAATGGACTTGGAAATCTCAAATGGATGGGTAATTTTTTAACAACTAAAACTTTAAAAAGGAAAGACTTAATAAATCTAAAAAAGGATGTTTATTGCCACTAGAAGGGATAGCTCTATTTTTCTGCTCAAGTTACTCAGCATTACTTAATTTTCTGCAGAAATACATAGAAAAATGTATTATGTTTACTATCCCTGATTTATGAATTGCATTCACTAAGTGATAGAAGTACTCTGTCTCTGGAAGATCGGGCTTAGGAAATTTAGGGGCTATAGCTAAACTCATAGTCTCTCACAAGCTTCTGCTTTACTCAATTATTCAGACACAGGCACTCGAGATGAGCCAGGAAAGATAAGTAGACTGTAGAGCAAAGAATGAACAAACTTCAATTCACAGACATCTCTTGATAGTCACAGAAGTTTCATCTCTATGCAAATTTCTCACTACATATTAACCTATTTAATGCCAAAATCTGAAGTACTAATTATTATTTGACCAGGCTAAAAGAAAAAAAAGGCGACTACAGAAATAACATCTATTCCCCATTTTTACATAGTTCTAATCTTCCTGAAAGACTTACACTTGTTTTCTATAAACCATCTCAGTTCTCATGGGAGGTAGATAGAGTCAGGTTTCTGGAGGAGAAACAAGCACAAAGGGATTAAGTATCTTGTCCAGCAAGCACCACTGAAAGTAAAACCAGACCCAATTATTTAACCTACAAAGTCTAAATAAACTTCCTTCCTAGGTTCATAAACTTAGCATAATATTTTAAAGTGCCTACAAACTATCCCAAACCACAGGGCTTCACAGAACAATACATATATATAACCAGGACACTAAGGCAGAATTGTGTATTCTGAAGACAGTACTGCTTGCTCCAAATCATTAAAATGAACTACTACAATGGACTTAAAAATACAAGAGGAAACAATAGCCATTTTGGAAATATTTTTCAAAGGCCACTCTACTCATCTCTATCCTACTGCTCAAATTTTCTTCCAGGGAGTGAAAGGGGTCAGACCAGAGATGCTCCTTATAATTATCTTCTTTACATATATCAATTATCAAAATACTAAGAGTTTCAATGGAAAGCATATTATACTCTAAAAGCCTTTCCCTCCAAAAATAAAATCTTAAAGTAATGCCTTCAGAGCATTATTTTGCTGCCTTCATAATACACTTCAAATTTGGATTTCAAAAATGATTAGATTCCAGTTTATTTTTCATTTATATTTACAGATTCAGATTATTTAAAATGTGTTCTGCTCAGCCCTCAAGCAAGATTGCCACTTACACTTGAATTTATTATTTGAAATTACTTATAAATGACTGTGTTAAGATACTTCCTAAATTAAAAAAAAAAAAAATTAACCCAGAAAGCTTCCCAATGTACCAATGTATGTATTTGAAATCACACTAGGTACCACATAGCACACTATTTGAAGCCCACAAAGTGATAACTGAAGTTATTTCTGCAACATGATGAAATAATTTTTTTGTGCAAATCTGACAGACTAAATGTTCAACTATCAAAGGGGAAATCATTTTCTAGAAAATCCTCTATACCGAGGCAGTCTCAAGCAGTTTCCTTAATCCTTCCAAGCCTCAAAGAATCTAACACAAGCCACAGAACACTGAATTGAGACCTACACTGAAATGTCTGTGCTCAAAACCCTAAAGGTTATTTCCTAGGTATTTGGCAAGCTAATATCCCTATGTCCACACAACCCCAGAAGTCTTTCCTCAATAAAACTAACACAATAAAACTCCCCAATTCAGATAAAAAATACCCCCAAATCCGAAAGCCTCCAACTAAATTTTACTTGAACTATTTGGGAGAAAAAGCTGACATCCCACGATCAGGTGTTTATACCCCAAAAGAGAGTTAAAAGAGTCAGAAGAGCTCTATTCCAGCCACTTCTTGGTGCTGGATGTATTATTGCCTCCGTCTGCCTGGGATTCAGATATTACATCATTCAATGTCTGAAAACTGCCCCATTACCCAGAAAGCACCGGGTATCTGAGACACTGCACCAAGGTATCCCTTCCTCCCTCTCTAATACACAGCGCTTGAATGTTACTGATGCGGGGCCTTGCTCTCAGAGTATCTTCACAAAGACATCTGCCCAGCACCTGCTGCAATCCTATTTCTATTTCTATTCACTCTCGCTGCATTCTTCATGACCCTGTACACCCCTTGGTATATTCTTCAAGACTATCTGCCCACTCATCAGGCCAGTGTGCTAGGAGGTACCCCACTACACACCTCCTGCAAACTTAGCAATGTGTACTTAGCTCTCCCCCACTCACTGGGTTCTGGAACTAAAACCAGGCTTCACCTTTTCCCTGACCCTAGAAGTATGAACTTTCAGATATGGAACAGAGCTTACTGTCTTCCATAATCCATTAACACCATTCTGTGATCCACACATACACCCCACACACTCTCACCAGTTTCTCTAAATCTGGAATCCCCTCCCTTTAGATTTTGTCCCAACTTCTCCATTCGGCCCTTCCTTATACTTCCAGTGACCTAAAAATTTTGGCCCCTTTAATCTCACGATTCAGTTTTCCAACTCTCAACACCACTGCAGCACCCTGCTCTTTTCACACAATTCTAAGAAACCTGTTTTCCTCTCTCCACCTGCACAGTCATTTCCTGCCTTACACCTGGTTCCCAACACCACCCCAAATCCAACAGACCACCTATCCCTTTCTACCTACAAGTGGACCCTCACACATCTCTACCTTGCACTTACCCCATTATAGGTATTATGCGTTCTTCTACATCCTATATTCCAAAATATCCTGTCTTCCCCCCTTCCTGCCCTCTGTTCCCTGCCTACCTGCTTTTCTCTACCAGGCAAAAAAGAAAAAGAAAAAAATCTAGCACCCAAACCTTTGCTTTCCCCCCTCCCCATGTTGTTCTCCAGACCCGTATGCCTTCCCTTCCAACCCATTCCCAGCCGCCTCCCCCAGCTGCTGTCCCTTCACATGCATGCCAGCACCCTCTCCTCCTTCCTCCCCAACTTCCCTCCACACGTCCTGCTCAGACACATCTCCTCCCCATCTGCCCCCGTGACCCACCTGCCGCTCCTAGAACTCATCCTTCACCCCAGCACCTTGGCAGTCCATCACACACTCTTACTCCACCTGTCCCCTCCAACGCCCCAGATCCCAAAGCCCGCCCCCCCCCCCTTCTGCTCCAGCCCCTTCGGGCATGCTTCTCCTGCCACCCGCCGGATGCCCTGCTCACCTCCTGCCCAGATACCTTCTCCTCCCCACCCACCCACACACACCCCGGCTCCACTGTCCCCTCCTCTCCCCGAAACTCCTCCAACTCGGGCCCGGCTCCCCTCGCCTTCCCCCTCCGCCCTCTCCCCCGAGCCCCGCTGCCAGGGGGACGCCTGCCTGGTCCCCTCGCAGGGTCCCCTCTGGGGGTTCCCCTCTGGGGGTCTCACCCACCGGCCACCTCCCTCCCTTCCCCCCTCCCTCCCTTCCTCCGGGCTCGCCTGCAGCCCTCGTGGCCAGACCCCGTCCTCGCCCCTCAGGTCCCCGGAGGCCTCCGGCCTACCTCGCACACCTCCAGCCCAACGCCCTCCATCTCCCTCCCTCCATCCCTCCTCGTGGCGGGGAGACCTCGGACCCCTCCCCCATTTCCCCACCCGCCCGGTCTCACTCCCTCCAGTTTCTCTCCACCTCGGCCCGCCGTCCGGCTCCGGATCTGCCCCCCCTCCCGTCCCTCACCCGCAGCCCAGCCGGCCGCCGCTCCCCTCTTCCCGGGATCCCCGTCCCCTCCCCTCCCACCAGCTCGCCCCTGCCCCCCTCGGGGCTCCCCTCACTCTCCCGCACCCCCTAGGCGGCCCCCACCCGCCTTCGGCCCCCGCCCCTCCCGCAATCGCCCCGACCCCCGCGGGTGCCCGAACCTGCCCGAAGGCCCTCTCCCTCCGTAGGGCCGGAACCCTCCACCTACAAGGCTCCCCCGAACCAGCACGCACCCCTCGCGGCCCCCCTGCAACCCCCACCCCGGCTCCTGTCCCCAATGTCCTCCAGCACCTGCCCGGAGCCCCTCGCCCTCGGGCTTACCCAGACCCCCCGGCGCCGGTGCCCGCGGTCCACGCCCTCCCTCCCCTCGCTGGGGGCCGGCGCCCGTCCCCACCGGGGAGAGGGCTGGCCGCTGCCCTTGCCGAGCGGCCGGGCGCTGCGGCGGCGGCGGCCACAAAGCCGGAGCCGCGGGGACCGGGAGCGCTCTCCGCCCCGGCCGCCGCTGCTAAGAACGCACAACAAACAATGCGGGGCCCGGCCGGCTCCGCCAACCGCCTCAACCGCCGCCTCAACCGCCGCCCGCCGCCGCCCGCCCGCCGCCGCCCGGGACGGCCCGCCGCGCAGGCGCCGGCCCCGCCGCCGCAGCCTACCCGCGCCGCCGCGCTCGGCCCGCGCCCGGTCCCCGCTCCCGCTCCGCCGCCGCCGCCACCTCGTCAGCCCGCGTCTCCGGCTTCTCAGCCCAGCGGCGGCGGCTGCTGCCCTGGTGGCGCTCACGGCTCTGGTCTCCGCTCCGGCGGTAGCGGCGGCAAGCACGTGACGCCGCCGAGCGCGCCGATTGGCCGGGGCGGGGGGCGGGCCCCGCGGCTGCTGGGGAACGGAAAGCCCGCCCCCCTGCTCGCCGTGCGCCCCCTCCACGCGCACTCTGCCGCACCTGAGAGCGCCGGCCAGCGCCCGCCGCCTGCGCCAACTGCGCACCTGGGGACGCGCAGGGAGTGCACGCGGGTGGCGGCCGCATGCACCTGCGAGCGGACGCTTACGTAAACTGCGTCCCAGCCTTCTTGCCGGCGCCGGGGCCCCGCCCGCTGCAGCACCTGAGCCCTGCTGCGCTAGCGGCGTAACTGCTGCGGAGCGGGGAACAGCTGCGTAAGGAAAGCCATCGAAATGCACGGAAACTTCGTATCTTCCGAATCTGGGAGCGGCCCTGGGGCCGCCGCGACGAGCCTGGTTCCAAATCCCCACATCCCAGAATGGGGTGTCTCTCCCCCACCCCCCACCCCAACCCCAGCCGCTACGCAAACAAAGTAGGAGCTGCGTGCAGTGCCTCTCCAGGTGGAGAAGAGATCCCAATCTCCATTCCTACACTTACCAGCTGTGTGACCTTGACCGATTACAGGACCACTCTGATCCTCAGTTTCTTGGTCGGAGAAGCTGGGACAATGATTCCGATTTAAGAGCTGCTGGAAAGATGGGAAAAGGCAATAATAGGTTGTGAATTCTCCTAGCACATAGAGGCACGGAACAGAAGTTGCTACAACTTAGTAACCATCTTTCCTTCTCCTACCAGAATGGACCCCTCTGGATTGAGTTTGGGTCCAGGGCCTCTCTGACCTCCTTATAGATGGGTCAGACTTTGGCTGAACGCTACCCAGGTGGTTCTGGGGAAGATACGAAGATTTGCTGTGCTGGGTTCTAGAATGCACGGGCAGAAGAGGCAAGTCCTTGCCCTAAAGAAGTTCCCAGTCTGGGGCAGAATGACTTCATCACGGAGAGTTGGGAAGGCTGGGGTCCAGGAGGGATCTCCAACAAGAGTCCCCTCCAAGCCTTTTCCCATCTTTCTAATACACCAGACTCAAATATTTTAAAAAGCTTTGGTGATCTGGTGTTAAGTTTCAAGGTGCAAGCCTTTCCCTTCGCCCCTCCTCCAGGCCAACTTGACCCTGCAGCCACACTGCCCTTCAGAATTGTACTTGCCAGCGTATGCCCAGGTTTGTACCACTTCTGAGCCTCCTGAGCCAGGTGCTGAGTGGCAAATCCCCTTCCACACCCTCTCCTCATCTCGAGCTACCCACACACCTTTCCTTAATCCTCCTGAGAAACTTCTTGCAGTTCTTATCAGTCAACTCAGAACATACTCTCTCCGAAGCTGCTTGGCTGCTTCAGACACACTATCTAAACTCCCTCTGCTCTGCACATGGCCTGTTAAACCACGTGTTCTATGGCACTGCATTGTCATTGTTTAGCTGTCTGTCTCCTCCCTGAACTGTAAGCACCTTGAGGACAGGGTCACCCCTACCTGAGTGGGTTAGGCAGGACCACACAGGCACAGGAGATGAGGTCATTAAAGCTGGGCTTTACAGGCAGAACATGAATTTGCTAGAGGGAGAATGGATGCCACAGTATAAAGGTCAGTGCACACTACCTGTGGAACCTTGGAAAATCAGTCCTAGGTCTTAGTTCACTCATCTATCAAATGGGACCATATCACTGAATAATACCTCATAGATGTTGTTAGAAAGATTCAATGAAACAATGTATCTCAGATACTCAGTATGGTGCCTGGGACTTGGAAAATTACAAACATTTTTTTAAACAGGAGGACTGTACAGCATTAAGTACTCAGTAGTATCTCATATTCCAATATCTTAATTGAGTTTATAACTCTAACATTCCTGACAAAAGCATGTATTAATAAATGATACAAAAGTAAAGTAGAATTTCAAGTGTGCCTCTCCCTTCCTGCCCCCCACTCAACTGCCTCTTCCCCTAATTCCACCTCCCAGAGCAACTACTGTGAAGTTTTCATGTCCTACCATGTATGTCCAGAGAAGGAAGAAAAGTTGCAGAAAATTACATATCTATAATGTACTACTTGGATTCTGCATAGAAAACAGTCAGAAAGGAATAAACACCAATTATTACTATTATGCCTAGAAAGTGGAATTGGGTGTGGGATGGGGGACCTTAAATACTGCATTGTTTTAATTTTTTAAAGAATACTTACAGCCCTAGACAGTTTTTCTCAGCGGTTAGAACATCAGCCCAGAGACTGAAGGGTCGCAGGTTCAATTCTGGTGAAGGGCATGTACCTCAGTTGCAGGCTCAATCCCGGCCCTGGTTGGTGCTCATGCGGGAGGCAACCAATTAATGTATCTCTCATATCGATGTTTCTCTGTCTCTCAACCTCCTTTGCACCCTCTCTAAAAATCAATGGGAAAAAATATCCTAAGGTGAGGATTAACCAACAACAAAAACACACATAGGTAATAAATTTTTAAAATGTTTAGAGATATTATATATATATATTTTTTTCACACTTTTCAAGTGTACAAGTCAAGGACTTTTAGTAACTTTACCAAGTGAAGCAACATCAATATAAATCAGTTTTAGAACTTTTACAGATGCCCCATAAAATCCCTCACACCTATTTACTATTAATTCCTATTCCCACCCCCAGCCATAGGCAACCACAAATCTGCTCTGTATTTTTGCTTTTTCTGGATATATTAACACATTGCGCACCATTAATTTTATTGCTAAGCTTTACCCAGTGGCCAGATAAGTCTCTACTGAATGAGTACAAAAACGTTTTACAAAGTATCATACTTTAAAAAGGTATTAGTTTGTAAGAACATGTAATAAATACTTCAAAATGCAATGGGTATTTAATTTTAAGGCGTGCCTTTAACATTTATGTAAAACACTGTGTAATATGAAAACACAAGAATGCTCAGTGATCTGCCTGCAATGTGTTAAGTACGTTTCCTAAAAAGATCAAATATGTGTTTTAGAAAAAAGAAAAAAAAAGAGAAAAAAAGAATAAATGTACCACCTCCTAATCCCACTCAGCAATAGCAATCACTGTTAGTATATTTGTGTCTATTGTTCCAAACTTCTCCCATGCATATCAATACGTAACTTTTACAAAGTGAGATTTCTTTTTTCACTTAACAATATAAAGTAAATACACCTCTTTTATGTCACTGAATATTCTTTTGTATAGTGTTGTATCTTAAGAATCATTTAATTAAGCCAACTCCCTGTGTTAAATATTTGGGTCTTTTCCAGTATTTCCACCCTTATTAACAGGGGAAGGTAATAGATGTTGTAAAATTCTAGAGCTCGGTGAGTTTTGGATTAACACTAAATTCAAGCACCAGTGCTTCCTGCTTCATCCCTTCACTGCACCAAGATTTACTGAGAGCCCGCTATGTACATCCCCCAGGGATGCAAAAGCAAGCAAACAGCTCTACAGCCCTGCCCTCCCGGGGCTGGAGGCCAGTGGGAGAGACACACATTAATCAAATAACCTTGAATAACCTACAGAGAAGGGAGCAGCCAAGGGGGAGGGGGGGATCTGAAGAGACATTTTGGGGAGCATATCTTTGGCTCAGCCATTCTCAAGAAAGGCACCTTGAAATGGGAGGTGGGTTGGCTCCCCAGCATGAGCCAAGAGAAGCCTTTCACAGCTCCAAGTGCCTTTACACCTCAGTTCATTTTACTCCCTACACTCCCCCCCACCCCCCGCCCTCACCTGAGAGAAGGAAATAGAGGACACTGAGGCCCAAAGAAGGGAAGGAACTACCCAAAGCCACCGGGCCAGGAAAGGGCACGGCTGAAACTGGACTCGGGTCTGACTCCTAAGCTAAATGACATCTTTAAGAACCACACTGAGACAGGGGCAGAAAACACCTGTGGCTGGTGTCTATTGTATCGGTAGAGTTGCACGATCCTATTTAAATTTAAATTAATTAAAACTAAATAAAATTCAAAATGCATTCCTCAGTTACATTAGGCATGTCTTAAGTGCTCCATAGCTATCACATCGAATGGTGCTGATATAAAACATCACCATCATTGCAAGAAGTCCTATCGATCAGGCTGACCTAGAAGAACAATCCTAACAATTAGTGGTAGCAGTAATGATAATTTACTTGTATATTGTTTTTCAATGCACTTGTCCTGGGACATAGTGGAGTTCCATATGGTCCCCTGATTTTCATTTCCCCAGCCCTCCACCAACTACAGGCGAGCTCTAGCAAAAGAAGCTGAAGACAGAGAGGTGGCTAGTCATGCTGTGGGTGAGGGATGGGACACAGGGGATGTGACATCCCTCAACTTCCTGCCATCATGTTAAATCTGCCTGCATCTTCAGCTATTCTCTCTTCCTCATCTCCTTTTACCAAAACCAGCTCCTCTCCACAAAGATCAGGTCCTTTTACTGTGTCCCGATGCCGGCTTTTCCTCCCCTCTGAGGAACCTCACTCCTTAATCTGCCCCTCACCTTCCCCGCTGGGCTCTTTCCATTATTACCCAGACAGTCTCTTCCATTTTCTAGGGGAAAATGAGGGGAGGGAGGGAGACAGGGAGGGAGGGGCAGAAGGGTGATATCCAGGTAACCATGTGTACCTGACATTTTGAGAAGCACTGCCCCAAAGGAAACAGCTATAGGTGCCCATTGAAGACTCAAATGTCATGATGGAATCACTGTTGCTGATGTGACTCTCTGAAATGGCAAATCACACTTGGTAGAGTCTGAACACAACAAGGTATAATCTTCACTCACTTTGCATAGTATTTGCCTCCCTGGAATATTAAAATCACACCAGGACATACTTTGTCTTTATATGAAAAATGAACTTAGTTGTTAGGCACACATAATGATATACAGGACGTTCTCCTATGTCCATGTGCAGTGTGACATTCCAACGTTGTGCAATGGTGTCCGTGCATTGCAGGGCATCTGGCTTCCCCCCAGTGAGTGTCAGGATGACTACCCAAACTCCACCATGGCTGTCTAAAAGT